ATAGATATTTTAGAAATACTACTTATATCTGATATGTCTATTCTTTTAATCCAACTCCCTATCTCCTAGTGACTCTGTCATTCTCCATCCTCCTTCTCCATCTAGTATAAATCCATTTCAACCATATTTTCACCTAAACTTTATTTTCTTTATTCATCCTCAACCCAATCCGTAATTCCATATCAATCCAACTTGTTCTCTTATCCCACAAACCTTACTGAAGGAAAGTATTTCACTGTTGAGATTATCAACCTTGTAAATGAATAGCCTTCAGGTTCATTTGGTTGACCTCCAGGCAGTTTGGCAAGCCTTTAACTATACCATTCTGGCTGCTCTTTTCATTTTTTATAATACCTGTTCTAACTGCAGTCTCCAACCCAGATTCTCACCTCATCTCTGTATCAGCATATGACTATCTCCTGGAATGCATTAATTGAACTTCCCTCTCCTACACCTGCAAATGTATATGCTTTATTTACATGGGTTCCAAATGTCAGTGTAAGGCTATATTAGACACACTTGATTAATGTTAAAAAACACATCTACCTTGACCTGATCCCCAAATCCTGAATGAAAATCTTTAGTGTTGGAAATGGTGGGAGCTGTATTTGTTGAAAGCCCCTCAGGTGATTTTTGTGAACTAATTCAATTTAGGAAAGTTGTGGACACCTTTGTTCATAACCTCTGTTTTTGTATGCTTTTTAAATATCATTCTGGCTGCCTCTATTTCTTCCTAGCAGTTGACATGTAGGCTGCACTTTTCAGAGCTCTTCAATGAGCTGTTAGAGCATCTGTTTTGCCTGTGGTCATCACACTTAATCTCTCCTTGCTGGAGCTGTTAACACACTCCTGCTGATGTCTTGCCAAACTTGAGAGTAGCTAGAATAGCTCCTTTGCTGTGTCCTGGCTGTGCTCCAAGACTTGGTGGTTGGTTATTTTGTCTGACCATTTAATGCAAACTGTACATCACAGATGACACCAGTAGAAGGGTTCAAGCAGCTGGACGTGTAGTCTCAGGAAGATGGAAGTCCCACAGTTATATAGTAGTTTAGACATAGATATTGCTCCGTAAAACTTTTAATTTGATTCAAAGTGTTTTCTACTGTGCATAACATTTAGCATTCCAGAGAAAAAGGACATGTAATTCTGTTTTAAAATATTTTCCTCAATTAGTGTGTGGTATATATAGTTTATAGTGAGGTTTTTTTTTGGCCCTCGTTTTTGTTTTGGTGGTTCTCAAAAATGTAAAATGGCATGGATAGAAGCAAATATTTCAATGAAAATAGCTAATTGATCAAAAATCAACATGTAATTAACAGATCAACACACATATATTTGTTAACATAGATATTATGTTTAATAAGAACTTCATCACAATAAATTATGCAGTGCATAGTGGAATTTCAACTATTCAGTCTCCTAGTGGAATTATTTTCATGATTCAATGATTAGTCATTATAATTCTTTGTTAAATAAAGCCCAATTTTCATGTTTCCTAACATACTATACATTTAAAATTTTAGTATCTTATTTTATTTTTATTTGGGATAATTCTCATTAATAATAGCAACATGTGCTGAGCTCTTGAATTGTGACAGACACATGTAAATCATTTTACATATATTAACATTTTTTAAAAATATGTTTTTATTGATTTTAGAGAGGATGGAAGATGGAGAGACTATCATATTGATCTGCTGCCTCCTGCACACCCCCTACTGGGTATTGAGCCCACAACCCAGGCATGTTCCCTGATTGGGGATCAGAGTCCTCTTGGTGCATGAGTCAATGCTCGACCACTGAGCCTACCAGCCAGGCTATGTATTAGCATATTTAGTCTTTACAGCAATCCTATAAGGTGGCTGTTATCCCCATTTACTTATGAGAAAATTAAGGCACACAGCACGTATTTTTTCCTGAAGTCATTCTTTAAAGACAGAATTAGAATTTAAACCTACTTCTCTTATTACAGAACCTAGGCCCACTTAGGCCGTGCTCCATATCTAACATTGCATATCTGTAGATCTGCTTGTGAGCATTCCAGAGAGCAACGTTTGGGCATCTGGGGAGTTGAGTTGGGGATCTTTGCTGCCAATATCACACATAATAAAATTGTTCTGAAGCCCGATTAGTATTTTATAACTTGTATTTCATTTATTCTGACTTATCCTCAAACATAGGTAGATGGACATTAACTAGATCACTTTTGTTTTCACATACTAATTGTCAAAGATATAAAAGGAAAAAGAATAGCTCATCCAAGAGAATGGTTTACATAGATTTCCAACCAGGATAGTATGTTACCATTCTTCATCAGAGTGTAGTCACAATGACTAAAAGTGGTTTCTAAAATTACATCACAATTATATATAGACATTTGCATGTACAGGTCATGTTTGCTGCCTTTTATGATTTTGAGCTTATAAATACTAGTGAATAATTATTAGTTCACTTAAGTTATTATTGGCTCATCATGGAAATCCGTTATTTGCTGAAATGTAGTAAAAACTGTACATTGAGCCCTAACCGGTTTGGCTCAGTGGATAGAGCATCGGCCTGCGGACTGAAGGGTCCCAGGTTCAATTGCGGTCAAGGGCATGTACCTTGGTTGCAGGCATATCCCCAGTAGGGGGTGTGCAGGAGGCAGCTGATCAATGTTTCTCTCTCATCAATGTTTCTAACTCTCTATCCCTCTCCCTTCCTCTCTGTAAAACATCAATAAAATATATTTAAAAAATGTACATTGAATTAATTCAAGTCAAAAACTAGAAAGTTTATATAGTATAGTTTATATAGCTAAGCCTCTTCGTGAAACTGCAGGGACAGACATGGAAACTTAATTTCCTCCCCAAATTATATCATAAACAATTCAGGTTTTCACTTGGTTTCACATTATTGTATTGTTATAACCTCGAGAGAAATAACTTTTTTTTTCACTTGAAATGAGCTTCAAATGAAACTAAGGTTCAAGTTATCATTGCACATTGAGAAACATTCTCTTGAACTGCTTATACACAGGCATGAACATATGAGCACACTCATGCAAACACATTCAGCATCTTCTACATATAAATGAACTGATTTCAGGAAGTATATTTGAAAAAGTGTTTTTAAGAACCAGTGACAGTTTCCCAAGGAAATGGTGTTATGTTACAGTACAAAAGGTTATTCATATCATATTTTACACTATTTTGTTAATGCTTTTATGGGATCATCCTGTCCTAATTTTTCTCTCTGGATGCCAGAAACACAATCATCTGTACCACTACCCTAGAATATCCACCATCACCATTACCCATAACAACTATCTGGTTTTCAAATGTATGCATGCTATCAACCAGCACAGTTTTCAAATCCAGTGATATTCCATTAGGATAATTAGGTAGATGTTAAGAAGCTATACTTATATTTTCAAAATGACAAATAAATATTATGGTTTTGTTCTGAATTTTCAAATCCTGAGACTCAGTAGTTTTTTACTTTTATTAAAATGAGTATACATCGGTAGTACAAAACTATAAAGTTTACTTAATGATCACAAAGTACATGTTTTAAATATGCTAATCCAAGGCGCATCTGATGCATTTGTTATTATATTCTGGATTCCAGCATTGCTATGTCACCTGTAACTGAGAACACTTTATATTAACTGACTTTTCCAAGAAGTCACAATTATTAGAATTAGAAAACCCCTCCCAATTTAGGCATTATCATGAACGAAAAGCAACAATTCCTCTCTTGAAATTGATATTCCAAATGTTGGTGAGAGATATCTTTTTTTTTCTAAAGGGTGACCTATTTTTGATAAATTTCTTTTCTATACAAGTAATCACTCTAGTCAATAGGTCTCTGCCTTAGTCATCTGGGCTGCTATAACAAAATGCCATATACTGGGTAGCTTACACCATAGAAATTTATTTCTCACAGTTCTGGAATCTGAGAAACCTGAAATCAAGGTTCCGGCAAATTAATTTCCTGGTGAGAGACCTCTTCCTGATTTTCAGATGACTACCTTCTCACGAGAGAG